GCAAATCAGATGAAGGGCGTCTAGACTAGATTGAATTATAAGATCACGTACACCAGGTAGATACGGCATATAATTCAACGCTACGATCTAGCTCAGAGGGTGAGAGAGTCTCTGATCAAGAGTCTCAATTTTAAGTGCGCGAAACCGCTGAGAATTAGGATACGCGACTGGATTGTCGTACAGTATCATACTACATGTAGCATAATAATATTCACAGACTAACTACAGTGCTCCCCCTTGTTGCCCTTGTTCAATATCATACAGGTTTTATGACTGAATATAGGGATTATCGTCACATATGAAGAAGACCCTATGAACTTGACAAGGGTATAAGGAGGTAGTGGGTACGGCTTACGAGGGGGAGCATGGTCCACCAAATCTTGATCCATATATACATGTACAAGAGTGCAAGAGTGAAAACGTGGCATCGTCGTTTTGGGATTCAGTAACAGCAGGGCAGGGGTTCATAATGTAATCCTGAGCTCCGTGACTCGTCAGACTTGGAACCGTAATCAGCATATTACAACATGTAGTTGGCCGTGGGCCTACGACTCGTGGCCACTGGTGCTTTTTCAGAGCTCAATTTACTACCTTCTTCCTACTGCTAGTGTACTTCCGAAGCCCCTTACAACCATGAGGTCATTCGCTCCCACTGGCCTTGGACTGCTGCTCGCCTTCGCTCACAACGCAGCCGATGCTGCTCTTCCAAAGGAAGTTGCGGCGTTGATTGACACGGCGGCGGACCCGTGTACCAATTTCTACCAGTACGCGTGCGGGCAGTTTCTGAAGACGGCAACGTTTCCACAGGGTCAACCATATGCTTCCTACGGTTGGGACGATCTCAATAATCAAGCGGAAGCCATGTTCATGGCTATTCTCGCCAATAAACAACTACCGGTCCTCTCCGACTACTACGCGTCGTGTATGGACACTAATATCATTAACGCGCTCGGGAACAAGCCACTTCAAGCTCGACTCCAGCGCATCGACGCCACCAAATGCAAGGCCGATCTGAGTCACCTCGTTGGCGAGCTCGCTACCAGTTCATCGTGGATGTTTGTCAACGCGACCACAGGCTTTGGTGGGGCACCGTACGACCAAGAACTGATCATAGAAAACCTCCAGCTGCCGTTCGACCAGACGGACTTTCTGGATGTCACCAAGTTGAGCGCCGAGCGTCCACGCATGCGTGAGTACATTGGTAAGGCGCTGACACTCGCGGGTGTTAAGACATCGAGCGGTAAGAGTGTCAACATGACCGCGACGGCTGACATGATCATCGATACATACAAGAAGTCGGTCGATCTGCGACCGACCGACGATGAGCTCAACAACGACGACAATATATTATCTCATAGTGAGACACTGAAGCGTTACCCGCTGTCATACAAGGGCATGATCGAGGGCACGAAGCTGAAGGTGAACCCGAAGTCTACCATTAACTTCAACTCGCTGAAGTGGATGGACCGTGTCGAGAAGGAGCTTTGGGGGTCGCTCTCGCTCGAAAATCTGAAGCTATTCTACACATTCGTCGACGTGCACGGCAACCAGCAATTCCTGAGCGACGCGCTTAGAAAGAACGACGCTGACTATTTCAAGTACGTCTTGGACAGCCGCGATTCCTTTTGCAAAAAAGACGTGATCGATCGAATGCCGCATCTGGCCACCCAGTACATTTACTCCCAATACTTTAGCGACGACCGTCGGGCGTATCTGCAAAACATGGCAGGTCTCATCAAGCAGGCAATGCAAACCGAACCCTCGAACGCCACTTGGCTGGACCCGTCGACACGCAAGGAAGCGATCGCCAAAGTGGGTCGGGTCATGACGCTTTTTGGTAAATCCCCGAAGTATTCCACCCCGCCAGTGAAGGTCAAAGCCGCTACGTTCTTTGACAACGTTATCGCGCTCAAGACGTGGAATTTCCACAACGACTACTTTGCAAACGTCGGCAAGCAACCAGACCAGCAAATCTGGACCCTCCACCCTGACGAGGTTACTGGTCTCTACCTGCTTATCCAGAATAGTGTTCAGTACTCGGTGGGAATTTTGCAGCCTCCTTTCTTCAGCAGCAATCTGCACCCTGCACAGAACTTTGGTTCGACCGGCACTTTGATCGGGAGCGACATAACTAAACCGGTTAGCGTGTACGGCCGACAAGTGGACCAATTCAGGCACACGCGTAACTGGTTCTCGGAAAAGGACAACGCCGCGTACAACTCGCGTGCGCAGTGCATGAGCGACCAGTACAGCGCACAGGTGCTATATGACAATAACGGCAAACCGTTGGGCCACGAGGATGGCAGCGCGTTGGTAGAGGATAATGTGCTTGTCAACAACGCTGTGAACGTTGCGCTCGTGGCGCTTCACAAGTGGATGACAAAGAACCCATCGTTCCCGACGAACGGTGTGACCGCGGACGAAGTGGATAAGCTCTACTATTTGTCGTATGCCTAGACCTCTTGCTACAAGGGAACGGACGCATGGCTGAAGGATCAGCTCGCGAATGGCGTCCCTGAGTTTAGAGTCAATGTGCCCTTGATGAACTCGAACGCGTTTGCGACTACGTTCGGGTGCAAGGCCGGCACCAACATGAACCCGGCCAAAAAGTGTCACGTGTGGTAGTCACACTAGCAACAAGGAAGAGCGACATGGCTACAGTACTACTGTAGCTAGTATTACGAAGTCTTTTAACATAGTTAAAAAAATACAGCCTCCGATAAAAATGAGTATGTGTTTAGAATTTACATGTACAATTAAGTAAAGCTTTCAAGTACAGGTATTAATGGTGCTGGTAAAACGTACCTTAATGTATTCTAAAACGTCCTAATTTGGTTTTATAATATATCTTAGTTTTTCTATAATATTAAATTTTCCGACGGCGCTTGTAGTATCAACTGCATGTAACGACAGTAATGACACCTTACGATAGTAATAACCAGCCGGGCGCCCCTTCGGCGCCCCAGCGGTACCCTTCGCTCGAGATTGTATATCTGGAGAGTGCAAGCCTCGGCTCGCTGGTGAGCTCGGCGCTGAGCCCGCCTCCGCAAATACCGCGCAGCCCTGCTTCGCGGGCACCCCACGCGGGTTGCGGCTACGCTCGCCTCAGTTGGAAGGCCGCTATCGCATGTGCTACACTTTACTAATATCAGTATCAATTAGTACAATAAGAGCACTTTTAGAACTTTTTAAGGAACGTTTTAGGAACGTTTTTTTCGGGCTCCGAATTAATATCTATAGAAAATACCGACTGAAAGCAGTGGAAACGCATGAAATGTTGACCCAGGTTAAATCACGCTTTTTGATTTTAACAATTAACGGTGTGGGATTATTGAAGAAGAGAAAGACCCCCCCTTAAGTGCTCTGATAATAGTTTAGATGATAAGAGAAACTGTTAATTCGAGGCCGTGCAACTAGCAGCCCATACTCGCCGCTGTAGATTAAGGTCAAATGCCTACCGAATGGAAATTGATCGGACTCCGCTTAATTGACCTATCGATTTTTGTGACGGGGCCACACAGCACCTTGCGCTAGAGGAAGTTAGCTTCCGAGAGTATACAAACTCTCAGTGAACGGCAGTTCACAGGCCCCCTCTTTATCAAAAGGGCGAAGTGACCTATTTAGGGTAGAATGTAAGCTGAGTATATTTATAGGAAAGATAAAGCTTGGGGTTAATACAAACTATAAGTCACCTTTAGAAATGCAATGTCATCAGCCAATGGTAGGCTTTGGACGACCTTGGTACCTTGTACCAAATATCCCAGAGTATGACGTGTCATATTTCTGAAGTGTGACTTGTCACACTTCATGTAACTAGGGGTACACCTAGGGCTACGTACCCCGTTACATCCTCCCCCACTTAGGTTCGGTTTATCGACCAATCAGAATGAAGAAGTGTTCGTCAAAAACTTTCATTCTCAAAGTCGAAAACCATCGACTTGGCCGCTCGAGCGCGGCGGAGGCTCAATTCACAGTTAGCGCCTCGAGCAGCCGTCTGTGCGCTCTTCTTTTCGGTCTCCACTTCGATCGTTTACCGTGCCTCGTGGCACTGCAAAGAGCGGTGCAAAGACACGCTCCAAGGCTGCTGCCGGAAAGGCGCAAGCCAAGAGCACTAAGCCTCACGGCAAAGGCTCGGCACTTAAGGAGGCTTCTCAGGTGGCCTCCGAGGCGATCGGTTCCTCGGGTGACGCCGCTGTGGACAAGCGAGCAAGCAAGCCCCGCAGCTCGTCGCCCTCGGCCTCTCCAGACAACCGTCCGAACCCTCGGTTCGCTTAACGTGACTTCAACTCTGGCAGTGAGGACGAAGCCGAGTCCGAGAGCACGCACGATCCTCCTGCGGGCTCTGCGGGAGGGCACAGCCCAGTGCCCAGCTAGCACAAGGACGACAGCGTGCAGTCGCTCGCTAGTGATCAAGATGATCACAGTCCCAGGACGTCTGTGCGCTCTGAGAGTCCGGCCGTCAAGGCTAAGGGCTCTCCCAAAGCTGGTGGCGATGAGGAAGAGAAACTTCGCAAACGTCTCTCGCTTGCCGAGGGTCTTACGCGTGCTAAGGTCTCTAAAGCCGAAGGCGCCAAGCCCTCTGAGAAGCGTACAGCTTCTAAGTCTCCACTCCGCGAGGAGAAGGAGTCTCGGTACTCCCATCGGGGCCTCTTCGACTCCTCGGATGAAGAGGAAGAGAAGGAGGAGGAAGAGGAAGAGGGTGCTGTCTCTGTATTATGACTTTAGATAAGAGGTGAAATTGACCTGGGCTTTAAAATCAACTTTAGGTATTCACGGCTTCTATATTGATAGATTTTTTTACTAAAATATGAAAAGAATGGACGTTGCCAGTTATTGGTATTTCCTGCTAGATTTAATCAATCTCGGTAATTTTACCTGCGTGTATTGGTAAACCTCGAGTCATCGATTCTAGGCCGTTCATTGCACAATTGTAAACTGTACATTAAGGAGCACACACCAAAGTCGCCCGGAATAAATCCCTTATTACTTTTTCGCAATATACTCAGAAAATTAAAGTTGGGGTTAAGGAAACAGTACGTTTCAATTTGTGTGTAAAAGCAGCATTTAGGATATATTTCAGAGCTAAGAAAGGATCTGGCAGGAGTACTATTTTCCATGAATTTAAAACCTGGTAATTTATAAGATCTAACATTATTCATAACAACAAGGTTTCATACAAATTTTACGTGACGCAAAACGTAGAAATCCTTTATTTTTGGGGACCTGCGAAATGGCAAAAATATGTTTTTCATGATCAATTCAGGGCCTTTAAGGATCACTTCTAAAAAAACTGCCATCGCTTATATCTCTCGTAAAATGTGGCGTCTGTAAGACGTTAGGAGACTACTCGACATAAGGATGCTCGAATTGAGCCTCGAGAGTTGATGACCGAGACCAGTGCTTAAAAATACCATATTTTTTAGGGAGACGGGTGGGTGTAGCATACAGAGGTGGTTAAAATCTCAGGGAATTTTAAACAATGACGTCATACATCTTAATGCTCAAATTGAGTCGTTTTTTTAATTTATGGGATGATTAGGGGCAGTGAAATGGAAGATTTGAGTGAATTGGTGCGGCTCGGCGAAAATTGTGCTATTTTAACAGCTGTATACTGATAAGTTCTGCAGCACCGCAGCAGCGTCCTGGTTTATTACGTCATCCCGCTGGTGGTCGTAGCGGCCCAACCCGGCTGTTTGAGCAAAGCGCGGCTCACAATCATACCAAACGCATGTTATCAGTATGGTGGCTGGCTCATGTTCTTACTTTCCGAGGGATCCGTCCTCTTATGGAGCGTCCAAACACACTTCAGTTTTAACTTCGACTACAAACCAAGTTCCCCCTTATCCAGTGAGCATGGTCCTAACCTTCCTGTTCAACTAGCCCGATGATGCGCCAGCGCCCTCTGACGGCTCGCCGAACGCCTTGAGAATCGCATCTCTAGCTGGTTCTGCTATCTCTCTTCCCTGCGACCCTGACACTGGAGCAAGCTTAATTACGAACGTGACTGCCGTCGTCTCCGAGTCAGCTTCAACCAAGCGTGGGCGTCGTAAACATACTGCCTGAGACGAGGTCATTGCTGCAGATGAAATATCTCCGCCGCAAGAAATGGGAGCGAATTATTCATCACCTGGTGAATCGCACGTCGAGAGTGTTCGTCATTACTTACCGAATACGTGCACAAAGCGGTTGAAGGCCAAGGCGATAGCATCGTGCTTTCCGGCTGTTTTAACCCCTTCAAATCTTATAATGTTTTCAAGAAGCAGTTTGTGTTATGGTTCTACTCTACTGGAATGGCGTTCAATAAGGAGTCGCATCCCACGCTGCAACTAGTCCTACCGATTCCGCTCCTAGGCAGGAGATCCCTTGTCCGTACGAGCTAGCGATGACTCGGCTCTACATGTGTTACCTTTAACTTCAAGGTGATGATGTTGCACAAGCTTAAAGGCAAGAAATACACGCTCAACACTCATTTCTGGACGGACATCAACGGCAAAAGCGTAATCAACTACGTGCTGCAATGTGAGGGGGAGGAATACATTTCGGAGTTCGTTTATACCGGAAGCACTTCCCACGATGCTGATTTTATGGCTGCTGTTGTCAAACGTGTAATCGAATCCATGGGATTTACAACTATTGCTGTCGTTGTAACTGACAATACAGCGACCAACAGGCTGATGTGGGCAACGCTGCAGAAGGAATACCCTTCCAGTTTTGTTTTCACGGCTGCATCTCTCACGTGATCCATCTCGTGTGAAGGACAGGATTACTAAACTCAAGTGATTAGGAAAGCGGCATGCCCTCTGCCGCAAGACGGTAAAGCTCTTGAAGAAGCACCAGCTACAGTGGGCTGAGCTTCGCCGACTGCAAAAAGCTCAAAGGCAAGAATGCCTCGTGATGCCAGCGCATACAAGATGGGGGATCGATTGAAAAGTGTTCCGTGTCTGTTCTTGAATCGGAAAGCCTGTTTCTTTTGATAAACAGTGTGCGTGAATTTCTCAAAGCGAAATCCAAGAAGCATAAAGCGAAATGCTGTGTGGTATACGACGTGTCAGTGTTTTTTTTTTCAGCTGAAGAAAGCGATCAGTCTGCTGAGCGTGTTGTCTGCAGTACAGCAGTTTTCGAGCGCGGAGCCGGCATCGTATCGAATGTCTATATGATGCTCATAGATCTTCCGCAGGCGTACGCGGCGATGGAGATGTCTATCTCGGAGTTAGGGATTATCAGCGGCATTTTAAATGATCGGCTCGACTTCATTTACAGCGATCCTCATGGTGTGTCGTATCTGCTCGACCCCGTTTAGGCGGGGACGGAATGGATGACGACACCAAGATCAGCATCATAGACTTCATGGCCAACTAGAACGAGCCAGAACACGGGAGCGCAGCGACCGTGGAGCTGACGCGGTCCTTCAAAAAGAAACTCGAGAGCTTGAGTATTGGGGTAGTCGGAGAAGGTTT